ATAGGATGCCACCTTTCCAACAAGTCAGTTCTTCAAATTTCTGCCCTACTAGAGCTGCCCTAGTCAACTGTAAGTGCTGTTATTGTGAAGTTGAAACATCTAGGAGCAACAATGGCTCAGCCGCAAAGTGATAGGCCACATAAGCTCACAGAACGGGACCGCCGAGTGCTGAAGCGCATAAAAATAATCTGTCCTCGGTTGCAACACCCACCACTGAGTTCCAAACTCCCTCTGGAAGCAAGGTCAGCAAAATAACTGTTAGTCAGGAGCTTCATGAAATGGGTTTCCATGGCCGAGCAGCCGCACACAAGCCTAAGATCACCACTCGCAAAGCCAAGCGTCGGCTGGAGTGGTGTAAAGCTCGCCGCCATTGGACTCTGGAGCAGTGGAAACACATTCTCTGGAGTGATGAATCACGTTTCACCATCTGGCAGTCCGACGGACGAATCTGGGTTTGGTGGATGCCAGAACGCTACCTGCCGCAATGCATAGTGCCAACTGTAAAGTTTGGTGGAGGAGGAATAATGGTTTTTCATGGTTTGGGCTACAGCATACAATGCCATTCTAGACAATTCTGTGCTTCCAACTTTGTGGCAACAGTTAGGGGAAGGCCCTTTCCTGTTTCTGCACGACAATGCCCCCATGCACAAAGCGAGGTCCATACAGAAATGGTTTGTCAAGATCAGTGTGGAAGAACTTGACTGGCCTGCACAGAGCCCTGACCTCAACCCCATCGAACACCTTTGGGATGAATTGGAATGCCGACTGCGACCAGGCCTAATCGCCCAACATCAGTGCTCTTGTGGCTGAATTGAAGCAAGTCCCATCAGCAATGTTCCAACATCAAGTGGAAAGCCTTCCCAGAAGAGTGGAGGCTGTTATAGCAGCAAAGGGGGAACCAACTCCATATTAATGCCCATGATTTTGGAATGAGCTGTTCGACGAGTAGGTGTCCACATACTTTTGGTCATATAGTGTATTTACCACTACATTTTAAACATATTGGAGAATGGTTAAATTAGCATTATTTAGAGACCCCCACCCCAAAGTTTGACTACTGTTGCATTTAGGGGAGCTGAGCCCCCCTGGCTTCCCTGTAATTCGCGCCCTGCAGTTGACAAACAAATCGAGAGCTTGGGACTATACGTTTCTATCTATAAAACGATGATTCTGAGATAATTGGCTTTAAAGTTCCGAACCCTCATTGGTTTATCAACATGAACTGGGGTATTTAGAGTACTATATAGGTAGAGACCATTTAACAAAACAAGGCTATGTCAATAACTCAATTTTGACAAAAATGCAAATAGAACCTTATAGTCATAAACTCTCGAAATAGCCTACCAAAATTTCGGAAATTATAAGGAGAAACATATCTAAATTTGGCAAAAATAATAATTCTGCTGTCTTTGACTGTAGCCTACAGCGCATTTTCTATATTTTTGGGTTAGGGTCGGTTGCGGGCCTCAGATTTTCACTTAATCATATAGTCTAGCGGTTGTGGCGGGGTTTGGCTATTAGCAATTGTGGGAGGGTGTGGGTGAACAAACAACTGGCCCGCCCACCACTAGTCAATGCCATGATAAAAATGTCATAACACATGGTCTCATGTATTATTGCTAAAATAATGTTTTTTAAGTTAGCCTACATGATGAATCTGTAACTGGATTAAGGGCTCTAATCAATCCACATCGCGGAAATTCAGCTTTACAGCGTGATTGAAATTTACAGGCAATGTTCCTGCTTTAGTGGCGACTGCATTCACCGTAAATGCTCCATATGTCGGCTCAATCCGAATTTACCTTAAAATGTCTATTGCAGAATCTGTAACACTTCAGCACATTATGTGTGTAGACCTATTGCTGTAAGCGTTAAATAAAGCAGGTAGGCCTTCAGAGATGGAGAGGAAGAAAAAAATTGGTTATTTTCATTCACTTAATTTCAAGTTGATTTAAGAGTGATAATTGAAATCACATAGGTTTATGTTGCATATAACCTTTGTATGAACCATTTAAGGTCTTAAAGCACACATTTCAACTGCACTTCTAATGCACTACCCACTTACTCTATCTGAGCAAATTATAGATGTTCTTGAAGGGCAAACATCCAAAAGAGATGTTATTTCACTGTTATTTTGATTGTTTTTGATTGCAGGTAGGCTACTGCTCTTAACTACGGCTCAAGTAATTAGAATCACACTTGTGTGTGTGTCCTTGTCCTTGGTTTTCAGCCCTTGCCTCTGATTTTGCTTGGTAACACCATATCTCAGGGGAGCAGAGATACTAAGAGAGATGTCACAATCCGCTTAGTGTGACGCTCAGTCAATTCGAGTGTCACACTAAGCTGATTGTGACAGCTTGTACATGTCTCCTCCTCTGGTGACAGTTAATAATTAATGACAAATAGCTCAGGATTAATAATGAATTGCAACATGTGCAATACATTTTTCATGTAAATCATTAGGCAAACAAAGAACTGTTATTGACATAGATATCCACAAGCCCCCACTAGCTACTGTCTGAGACTGTCTTCTCATATTCATCCGCATCGCGGAAGTTCATCTTTAGCTGCATGATTAAATTTAAAGGATCAATGTGTCCCTCTTTAGAAAGCGGAGACTGCATTCACGGTAAAAGGTGCATCTGTGGGCTCTAATCTGAAATATAACTTTAATTTATATAGGGATCGAACACGATTCAATAGAGCCCTAAATCACACAGCAGCAGTCTGACAGCTTATGTTCAAATATAGAATATGATTAGATGTCTGTGCTTATATATCCTACTAGCGCTGTATGAGACAAACTGTTGTGATCATTTCATAATTTGTAATTACTGTGAATCAACCATGGCAGGTCATATAATATCTAGTTAATTAAATGATTCCAAGAATAATTGCTTTTTACATTTTACTGAACAGAACCATGTATTTCCTGCTGAGCAAGATAAAAAAAATACAGAAATACTTTTCATATTAGCAGATTTTAAATGCACAAAGACAGGCTATGCTATTTGTTACTGTTAGATGTACAGATTTGGTTTCCAGTGAGCACAGCTAGTGTGAGCTCACAGTCTATTTGGTGCCACCCTGAGGATTATTGCTTGATAACATTATCACTCATGCAATATGAATAATAAGGCAGTATTGTACAGAGCAAAACAGTGGCTGAACCATTATGTCAGAGGTCACTGGATATGTTCACAGGTCGTCATCATTATTACAGATATGTTGGAACCAAATATAGCCTGAAACTCAAACTAAACCCAGGAAATCATTTCGGAAGATGAAATTGTGTGATTGAATAACTGAAAATGCTTGGTCTTCATTGGTTTTTGGAGCTTGGCAGTCTCAGACCAATGTGCGTCAGGCTATTAGAAAATAATCAGTTCTGACTCCTGTGGAAGTATTCTCTCTCTACAGTGCCCAGGACTCTCACCTAACCAGCACATGCTAAAAACAGACAGCTGAAAAGAGACAGGAGCATATGACAGCATACAAACACACACATAGCACTTACTTTGTTATCACAAGCACATCCATTGGTTTTTACAAATCCAACCATGCTAAACATCTGCATTGATTGGTTATAAAGGCAAAGACATTAAGTGACATAGCTGGCATTGTCAGTCAAATGAAAAATAACCTGAAAATAGAGTGGGATAACAGTAATTGACATGTATTCAACATCAGTCTCGCTGCACAATACCAACACTTTCATACTAGCATGGAATTCTGCTGTGCCCCACCATAAACAGATGAATATATTGTGCAATGTGTTGCTATGACAATGACTACTCAGACTCGCTGGCACCAGAGCCTTCTATTACAATAAAGGGGACTCTGGCCTGTACCTGGAGATTGTACTATCTATGGAGAGTTTTAGTCTAGTGGGAGAAAATCCTGCACATTAAAACTGTAGATCAACACTGAAACAGAACCCATATCTTTAGTACCCAATGTTACAGGGTACAAAGAGCTCTCAAGCACGCCTGAGAAACTAAATGGAGCAATTAACAAAAAGAAAATCAGGGAATAGAAGTGATTTAAAATGCATAAAAAATAAGTGGACTTGCATTTGACAAAATCTCATTAGTTCATGATTTGGAACAATTCACTGTAAAGTGCTTACTGATTTGAGTTGAGGAAAGCATGTCACGTCCCTTTGAATAATCATATTCATTACAATTACACAGAGAGGTACAGCAATAGTCCCTCAATGGGCAAGCAATTACCAACCAGAAGACATGGGTAACATTTCATTTATTAGTCCTTTAATAAGATAACTGCTTCCATAATTTCCTTGTTAATGGTAATAATGAGAATCCTGTACTGGTTGCCAGGACAATGCCAATTACACTTGCAATTCTCTGACATACAGTATCAACACCTCAACTCAAAGGTATTCCTCTAATCCTCTTATGGATTGGAATCCTTGAACAATAGGGATGGGAATGTGAGGAGAGGAGCTCTAGTATTCCGGAGGAGTGCTGCCGGGAGGTTGGGGTTGGCGAATCCCTCTGGAACTCCCTCCGGTCTCCTCCTCTTCTCTCTTCTCCTTCTTCCTCCCTGGCATGGTGGGCTGGCCTGACAAAAGCAGGGATCTGTCCGGCTGATGCCTGCCTTCCTACAGGTCCTGAGAATCCACTGTTGTTCATTTAGCTCTCATTAGGAGGCATTTGTTTTTAAAATAAAATAAAAAAAACCTGGGAGTAGATAAACTCTCCCCCTGAATCCGCCTAAACCGAATATCCACCCACCCACCCCAATCATAACCATAAAAAAGGTAAAAACAAGGTCTACTGCAGAATGGCTTTACTCCTCACAGTCTGTAGGGAGCTGAAGCCCCTGGGAGCTGAGGTGCGGTTGGTGGTCTTGCGACTGTTCTGTCGTTTCTGAATGATCTTGGTGGCCGAAGGTTTCCGAGTGTCAGGCTGGCGCTTCCCCTGGGGGCCCCTCCGTTTGCCCCTCTTCCCCACCCGGCCCTTTCCGGCCCCCGCTGGTCACTTGCGCGAGTGCAGTGTGTCCTGGAACTTAGTGCTGGTGTAGCGGACATGGAAGCCTTTCTTGTTGATGGTGTCGTCAGAGCGGAACTTGATTACAATGGAATCGCCGGCAGAGTAGATCTCCTCGGGAGGCTGGGGGAACAGAGGAAAAAAAACACAGATTGAGTTAACGGCTGTCGCTTTCTGGCACTCTGACTGCACTTCAATTAAAACCAAATTATATCTCATAGATCCAGACTGAAGGGACTGTAGCCTAAGGGAGGGGGAGGGCTGTTGGAGTGAACAACTTCCACTTATTCTCCAAAAAACTCATTATGAGCTTTCTACCTTACTTTACAGTCTCAGTTTACAGTTTAGTCCAATATGTCTAAAAATGACATGATGGAGGAAGCGTTCCTTTTGGTACTGTGAGCATTATGTGCCAACCATCTCCTGCTAGAACTGATTTAAAGGACCAGGCATCAGTAGAGTAGCTAGAGAGACAGACTTATTATTGGCTTATTACAGGCTTATTATTAAGTATGTTAAATGAAATCAAGGTGTTCCCTGGCCTATGGAGCTAATGTTTCAACTCCCCAGTGGCCTCATTGTTCCAGCTACGCCCCACCCGCTGTAGCCTCAGCACTGGCTGATTCATTCTCAGTTACAGCTGAGTGCTGGAGACCATGATAGCCTATCACAAGCCAGCCAGGGCCCGCTCTTATTGAGCTCAGCTGCTACTGAAGCTATAATGTCCAACCCAGAGGAACACATCAACTTTAACAAAGTGATTAAAGCTGGAGAGCGGAGTGGAAATCTTCACAACCCTGGGGCCATTCCTTAAAGCTCAAACACAGACACACAGTTTAAAAGGTTATTCGACTGCAGAGCTAATTATACACTGCCTCTGAAAGTGTTGTTTTAACACAGCTGCAGTGGTTCAATAAAACTAGAACAATTATATTATGACAGTACATTGTTGGTGCTAAAATTCTGTTGGGCAGAAAAAGTATTTCAATAGATGAGGTTATCAGTGAGTTTACCCCAGAGCCACAGTAGCGTCCTAGCCTTGGGGACTTGGTGTCAGCACCATCGAAGAGCTCCATGTAGTCGTAGCCACAGTCAGCCTCCTCCTCGATTTCAAAGGTCTGGAAGATGAGCTCCACCCCATAGCCTTTCTCAGCCGCAATCACCCACTGGCAGTCAGACGCACCGGGGTAGTTATTGTCGCCGAATTGAGCATGGGAGTACAGGTCTTTGGTCTTGACCTCAGCCTTCAGACGACCTCCACACTCTGGAGATAAAAATAACACCATAGACATAATTTAGAAGGAACTAACCAATGACCATTTATGAGAAACCACTGCAGTATTTCTAGTCACAAAGTGGGCTAGAGTTTAAGTTGTGATGGCAGTAATATACCTGCTGTGTGGGATGCCTCGAAGCCCCTCTTCTGTACAGAGTTATCAGAGAAGAAGCGGATGAACATCTTGTTGGCACTGGACATAATGGGAGGAGGCTTCTTGGTGCCACAGAAGCGACCCAGACTGGGGGCTTTGCTGTCGCGCCCGTCGTAGATCTCAATGTGGTCGTAGGCACACTCTAGATGGGCCTCCATGTCGATTTCATTGAAGGCCTGAGACAAAGTATGAGGGGAGAGAAAGAGGGTCACAGGTATGCAGCCTGTTTTACAAGAGCTAGAAGAGCTAGAGTATGAAACATAATGGTTCCCTATCAGGGTAATCGTGTAGCTCAGTCCCGTGTATCTCAGTTGGTAGAGCATGGCGTTTGCAACGCCAGGGTTGTGGGTTCGACTCCCAACGGGGGGCCAGTATGAAAAAATTAAATAAAAATGTATGCACTCACTAACTAAGTCGCTCTGGATAAGAGTGTCTGCTAAATGACTAAAATGTAAATGTAAAAATGTAATAACCTTAAGAAACCCATTGGAATGAAGAGATAGACACATGCAATCACTTTGCATTGGCTAAGCCAAGTTAACCATATTAAAAAAACTGAGATATGTACAGTATGCCATGGATTAAGACAAACGGTATGATTGTGACAGAAGGGGGAGCCATTTATGGTTAGGGGATTGTTTCAATCAAGCAGAGGCTGTGGTGCTCAGTACAGTACAGTGCAAAGTCCTCAATGGTTTCCACAGTTCATCCAAACCCCCCTTCCCACAAACACATGCATACCCATACCTACGCACACACATACAATCTGTATGTTAAGATTATAGAGAGAGTTGGAGTGGAACACATACGATTTTGATGCGATGGCCTGCGGTGGTGGAGAGTGCCCAGGTGCATGCCTTTTTGCTGGGGTATTTATCTGGCCAATTGGGGCTTGTGATCTTGCCAGTCACACTGTTCACAACGTGATCACAGCCGGCTGCAAAAATACATCCACAAAGTCAACATCGCTCCCCTGTATCATTACTGCTCCACACAGACCAATGTTCAAACTCCACTCAGGAGCTGCACTGTTGTACTTGGCACATGGGAGTGTGTACCTCCTCACCTCCAATCATTGTAATAAGAAGTCATCCACTGGAGGCTTCTGAGGGGAGGACGGCTCATAATAATGTCTGGAACGGAGCCAATGGAATGGCATCAAACACATGGAAACCATGTGTCTGATGCATTGGATACCATTCCACTCATTCCGCTCCAACCATTACCACGAGCCCGTCCTCCCCAATTAAGGTGCCACCAACCTCCTGTGAAGTCATCCCCCTAAAAATAACCTCCAGAGCTCCAACCCGCATAAAATACATAAACCAAGAATCAATGTGCCAGTGGGTCTCAGTTTCTGTGTGCAGGTGGCCGATCGGTACCTTCTTTGCAGTCATGTTTGTTCTCGTGCAGCACAAAGCCACTGCGGCACTGACAGCTGTAGCTCCCGAAGGTATTGACGCACTCATGTTGGCAGCCTCCGTTCTCTTTCGAGCACTCATCTTTGTCTGGGGACATAAAGGGACACTACCTTCGTGAACGTTTCTCCCACACAACCACCCTGCCATCAGCACTCAAACACACATGTGGGGTCAAATTGATTAACCACTCATACACACAGAAACAGACTCTTGGAGGGAAAGACACACACACACACACACACACACACACACACACACAGTGTCAAAGGCTCACCTGAGAAGAACTGAGCTTTGAATCCCTTCTTGGAGACTGTGTTGTCTGACTTAAACTCAATACGCATGTTGTTGTACTGAGAGGTGATGGCCTCAGGTTTCTCTGCTCCACAGAATTTCCCATGTAGCCTTGAGTCTGCTGAGAGCCCACTGCGCACCTCCACATAGTCATATTTACACACCTGAACAAAGGAGCATCAGGTCGTTACAACATGAAACATTTGGGAATGCAATTACAATTTGTACACAAATACGATGCACAGGAATATATACTATTACAAAGTACAATATAAGGACAACATTCTGTACTCTATGACAGACAGGAGGACAGATTCATGATGACACCACTAAGGCCCATGGAGTATGAACAAACCCAAAGTGTGCCCAGTCATAATAACCCCGGTGCTCACGTCATTGCCCTCTGTCTCAAAGACGTCAAAGAGCAGGGTGATGCGGTACTGTGTGGGCGCCACCAGCTGCCAGATACAGTTCTTGTTGGGGGGGTACTCTCTGGGCCAGCCTGGACTGGTGATGGAGCCATTCAGCTTGGTGATGAAACCTCCACATGCAGCTACACACACAGACACACAGTCAGACAGACATATGTCCATAGGAGAGAAGACCAGGACAATGGTTAAGATGTGCCTAAACTTCATATGGTTATAATGATACAATTGTGTATATAAAAAGGTGTATCAATGACAATTTGTAGTGGTGGGATTTTATCCCCAAAAAGCTTAAAAATACAATGTATGTCATCCAAAAAGGTTAAACTGGGTATTATTTAACCATTGAGGATAATTTTCTAACAGACAACCTGCTATATTTTTACCAAAAGCTTAAACATGCAGAAATGTATGTCACCCAAAAGGGTTAAACTGGATAATTATTCAACGTTTGAGGAACATGTCATAGCAGGCCTCCTCCTCTAGAGGCAGACAGTGGTCAGGTTTGGAAAAAGAGCAACAAAAAGGTAAAACAATAAACCACTGCATCAGCAGCACTTCTGTCTGATTCTAATTTACAGGTGATGGTCTAATTAGTCAGGATGCTTTCAACACTTGCTTTGGGCTCTGATTACCTGTGAAGTTGGGGTTGAATTTTGGTAGGTTGGGTGCATCAAATACAACCCATTGGGTGGCAAAAATCCAAATGACATGAATTGTTAAGTACACAAATCTCTGGAAGTATTTTTTCTAGCTACTGTATGTGGGGCAACTGGTGTATTTGGGTGGCAGTGACAAAAGAACAGCACTAAACTGCATTATTGTGTGAACTGCAGCTGAGGAGGCATTATTGAGCAGGCTCTGGTCAGTATTCTGCTGTACTCACCCTCACAGCTGCGCTTGTCAGCAGCCAGCTCGTAGCCCGGGTCACAGGCACACTTGTAGCTGCCCAGTGTGTTGACACAGCGTTGCTCACAGCGACCATTGTCTGGCTTGGAGCACTCGTCCATCTCTACAACCATCACAACAACAACATGTTGGCGCCCTTTACATGGCCTCGCAACTCAACAGCCTACAAGTGCACCCCTCCAAAACCAAACCAAAGATAAACATTTAAGGTCACAAATGATGAATGATGAAATTGTCTGTCCTGAATTATACATAATTTAACACAACCAATCATAATGGAATTATTCTCAAAATGTCACCTTATTATGACATCATTTTTACATTACATTTTAGTCATTTAGCAGACACTCTTATCCAGAGCGACTTACAGTTAGCACATACATTAATTTATCGAACCCACAACCCTGGCGTTGCAAACGCCATGCTCTACCAACTGAGCTACATCCCCTGCCGGCCATTCCCTCCCCTACCCTGGACGACGCTGGGCCAATTGTGCGCCGCCCCATGGGTCTCCCGGTCGCTGCCGGCTACGACAGAGCCTGGATTCGAACCAGGATCTCTAGTGGCACAGCTAGCACTGCGATGCAGTGCCTTAGACCACTGCGCCACTCGGGAGATATGATGCTGAGAGATTCATTACTATGAAACTTAGGCTGGTAATTTCTACAACGAGGGCATATGCCATCAGCAATGACTCTCTGGGTGTTATTTTCTACAGTACAAAACTCTTGACATCTGACCTTTGAAAAAGTTGGCAGCGAAGCCAGCCTTGTTGACAGAGCCATCAGACACAAACTTCATCCACAGCTGGTTGGAACTGGTCTTGATGTCATCTGGCTTGTCGTAACCACAGAAGCGTCCCACCAGTGGGCTGTTCTCGGAGTTCCCATCCCTCACCTCCAGGTAGTCATAGGCACAGCTGTCATGCCTCTCAATCTAAGGAAGGGATGGGTAAAAGGGACAAAGTTAGAACTTCTAAGTCATTTTCATTCCTCATACACAGAGGTTGCAGAGGATATTGATGTAGCGGTATGTAAAAGCTTGCTACTGGATAAATGGGGTGAAAAGAACAAGTAGAGGCCCGTATCTCTTACCTCAAAGGACTGGAAGGTCAGGCCGACGTGGTAGCCCTGAGACACACTGATCTTCCATATGCACACCTTGTTGGGCCGATAGTCGTCTGGGTAGTTAGGAGACTGGATCTGTCCGTTATCCTTCTTCACTTCCCCTCCACAGATGGCTAAATGGCAGAGAACATGCAGTGGTCATAGCTATCTATCATCATTGGCACATTTCTCTCAAGGGGTTTTGTTTTATGGATTTCATAATGTGGATTAAATTAAATGGTTCCTATATTCAATACACCACGCTCTACAGTCTGGATACAATGTTGAGCTGAATTTCAACTCTGACCAAAATCTGATCAATGCAGCATAACGTGCTGGAAACACCAGCATGGAGGCAGCCAGACTTGGGGATTTGACAGAATCACTGAGCTGCTTTCAGGCATGTTGTTCAATCTGTGACCCATGTGGCCAGTCAGTCAGCTGAGCTGTGTTGTTATGGGGCTGCTGGCTCCGGCTCTGGCCTTACCTTCATACACAGCGGAGAAGCCCTTCCCCACCCAGTTACTGCTGCTGCGGAACTCGATCCACAAACGGCTGTCGGTGGAAATGATTGGTTCAGGCAGCTTATCCCCACAGAAACGACCTGGAACACACATACCAGACCACCTTATCACACAACTACCTTTTTCTCCAGACACCCTTGTGTTACATTTAAGTGTATTTTCAGCATCACTTTACCATAGTGTATAGTGCATGTATGGGACTACAACTTTCTTAAATCCTAACCTTTCAGAGGGGCTTTCCTGGAGTATCCATCTCTGATCTCTACATGGTCATACCAACACAGGTGACTCCTGTACAGATCCATGGAGGTGAAGTTCAGAATGATCTTAAAAACCAAGAGAGCATGATGATTACTGACCAGATACAGTCCAAACAGTTTCAACATGAGAAGAGAACAAAAATCCAGTGCTGACTTTAAAGGGAGATTTTCTAAGATTACATTATCCTAAGGAAAACGTAGTTATGAAAATAACTACTGTTCCCTGAAGGAAGGAACGAGGTATAACTTAATGTGAGGCGTCAACGACCAATCATATTCACCTGAAGAAAACTGAAATCACGCCCAACGGGCCAATGGATGCCAACGGGCCAATGGATGCCAATGGGCCAATGGATGCCGAGCCCGCCCTCGGAAGCCCCGCCTTCCTGGCTAAAATACCGGGCTCGCATTCATTTCCTCAATTCAGTCCCGCTCTGACGGCATGGGGCCAAAATAGGTTATTCCTAGTCCCCTCCTTCAGGGAACAGTAGTAATATTCATAATTGTACCTTCCCTTTCAGTCGGTCACTCTGTATAACATTCTATGCGGACATACAATCACGCCCCAAGCCGGCTCAGAGGGTACCAAACTAGGAGGCCCATGGCTCCAAAATGGGGCCACCTTTTTCCCTAATACTTATCCGAGAAGCCTGAACTGTCAGAGCCCCATATAGGGAACCAGAACCTACTGCAACATGGCCATGCGCACTGACACACTGCCACTGCAGCCCAAGTCCATAGACCCCATGGTTCCAAGAACAATACTTACCTTGCAAGCCTGAAATGTCAAAACTTGTACAAGGAACCGCAAGTCCAAAACAACAGAAAACCTGTCGTGACTTGGTGAAGCGCACATGCGCGCTGCATAGCATTGACCAGAGTTGATGAACCACGGAAGCCTGAGGCTCAAACCCACAGGAAACCTGCAGTAACCTGGAAACTGTGCACTCGCACACTGCCACGGCTACCCAAGGCTCAAATCCAAAGGGAACTGTGGTAACCCAGATAAATGTGCAACCTGCGCACTGCCTAACACCCACTCCCAGACCCAGCCATAAGAACACTATGAGCCACACTGAGAGCAGTTACATCCATGCGATAAAACCTCAAAGGTATGTGGGGAATCCCAACTCAGATGTCACCAAATCGTCATGCCCCTGAACAATGCCCAAGAAGCCGCCTCACCCCTAGTGGAGTGAGCATGCACACTGCTAGGCAACCCTTGTCCTTTGCTGTCATATGCCAGGGAGATAGCCTCCACTATCCAATGAGAAAGACGCTGCTTAAAAAGCGCCCTACCCAGAGCTGGATTAGCGAAGCAGACAAAAAGCTGGCCACAAACATGGATATCCTTGGTCCTATCCATCCATATAAGTGCGTAAAGTGCGCACCGGACACAGGCCATGCAACAAACAAACGGAGGAGGTTAAAAAAGGGAACAGCTCGAAAGCCAGGGACCTGTAAGACATAGGCATGACCTTGGGAGCAAACGCTGCATTAGGACATAACATCACTTTAGAGACGTCAGGCGCAAACTCTAAACAGGAAGGGTGTACTGATAGCCCGTGGAGATCCCCAACCCACTTGGCCGACACCAAGGCCATGAACAGGGCAGTCTTGTAGGAAATTACCTTCAGGTCCACAGACTCCAATGGTTCAAAGGGAGGCTCACACAGCGCGTCCAGGACCAACACCAGGTCCCAGGTTGGTGCCATAGGCTTAGACACTGGTCTGAGCCACCGCATGCCTTTCAGGAACCGCACCAATAGAGGATGAGACCCTGAGGTAGAGCCGTCAATCCCTACATGACAAGCCGAGATGGCAGCCATATAAACCTTCAATGTGGAAAAAGAAAGGCCCTGCTCAAAAAGCTCTTGCAAGAACATCAAAATGTCCACCAAAGAGCTCTGAAAAGGAGAAACTCTTTTAATCTGACACCAACCCTCAAGCGCGGGCCACTTATATGTATACAACCCTCTCGTAGAGGGTGCATGCGCCGACTGTATAGTTGTAATCACATTCAAGGTTAAACCTGTATCTGTCAAATTCAACTTTTCATGGGCCAAACCCACAGATCCCATATCTGTGGATGTTGGTGCCAAACTCTGTCAGATGACACGGAACCCTCCACGGGTCCCCGCCCAACCGGCAGATGATCTCCGGGAACCAGGGTTGTCTGGGCCAATGGGGATCCACCAGAATCAACAACAGACCCTCCTGACGGACCCTTCTCCACAGTGGCCTGAATCAGGTCCACCGGAGGAAATGCATAGAGCAGGGTCCGAGGCCACTGATATGCCAAAGCATCCGTTCCCAACCGAGCGCCCAGATCCCTCATTGAGAAGAACAGACAACAATGCACGTTTTCTCGTGATGTGTAAAGATCTACGTCGGCTCTGCCGAACCGGTCACATATCTGGACAACCACCGAGGGGTGCAGTCTCCACTCTGTAGAGATAGGACCCCCCCTAGAAAGTAGATCCGCACCCACGTTGAGAGATCCATGAAGATACGTCGTCCTGAGTGACAGGAAATGCGCGCTGCTCCATACGAGCAGATAACGGGTCAGGTATAGGAGATAGAGAGACTGCGTCCCTCCCTGCCAGTTGTCGGACCTTACCAACACATGCTGGCCTTCCAACATAGGAAGGAAAAGCCTCAGCGCTAGCAAAACAGTCAGTAGCTCTATCTAATTGATATGCAGCTCTCTTTGCGCTGTTGATCAAATCCCTCTTTCCGGGTATCCCACACACAGCGCTCCCCATCCCAGTAAGTGATCACACTGCGGGACACTACCCGACCCATGAGAACCCCCTACAACAGCAGTTGCGGGTCCCTCCAAGGAGTCAACGCCCTTAGGCACGACTGGGATACCTTGAGCAACCGATGGCAGTGGTGAGATGCATCCAGACACGTAACAATCACCCAGTGCTGAAACAGACACATCAACAGAAGTCGCAGAGGCACCACAGCTATCATAAAGGCTATCAAACCCAATAACCACAGGCACAAGCGAAAAGGCACCAAGTGCCCCAGCTGAAACCGTGCCAGACAGAGCATATTCAGAACAGAGTCCAGAACGAGACCCAGTAACTGAATGCGCTGATGCAAGTTTTTTTATGATTCACTATGAACCGCAGACTGAATATGGGAAATCAGCACGGCAGTGTGGAGCTCCACCTGTTCACTCGACTGTGCTACGATCAGCCAATCATCCATATAAGCCAATACTGGCACAGCACCAGTGCCAAAACCGCCTCCACCACCATAGAAAAGGAGCCGGGCGAAAGTGAGAGCCCAAAAGGCAGGACCATAAACTCGTAGGCCACACCCTCGAAATGAAACCTCAGAAACGTTCTATGGGGAGGAGGAATCCACATTTAAAAAAAATGCATCCTTCAGATCTATGGACGTGAACCAATCGCTGGGACGCACCGACCGGAATAGCTGGCAAAGTGTGAGTATTTTGAACTTTCAAACCTTGAGGTGCTTTTTTAAAACACGCAAGTCCAGAATGGAACGCAACGTTCCATCGCTCTTGGGAACTAACAAGTACCGGCTATACCAACCGCTCTGTACTTCTGACACGGGGACCACCCGAATAGCCTGCTTTTGAAGGAAAGAGGACATTTCTTCTCTCAAGACAGGCGTTAGGACACCGGGGACTATTGACGTAATGATGCAATGAAAAGGAGGAGGATGCACAGCGAACTGCAGACCGTACCCCCTTGTCACCGTCCTCATTACCCATGGTGAAACTGCACGTCTGCCACTGGACGGAGCACGCTGCCAGTCTCCCATACATTATCTCCTGAAGGGGCAGAGTGCCAGCTTGAGGACTGGGATAATTTGGTTTTTCTGTCATGCTTGTTTTCATATCCAACACTCTTGACAACTGTGTGTCTGAATGTGGGGGAAGGAACTGTGTTTATTATGCCCACACCTGGACGATACCGCACTTTCGATACCCCTGAACACAGAGGAACCTTGGGTAGAAACAATGTGCTTTCATGGTACTGCGGTTCTGATACCCGGCCCACACCGGGTTCGATGCCGCCCCCTTGCCCAGGGCAACCCACCTCTGGCCTGAACCCTTTCCTTCAAGCCTCGGGAACTACCGCAAAGGATTTTTGTCCTGTTTTTGTTTCTCCTCAAAACGGGCCTGTAAGGACTCCATAGCCGAGCCAACCAACATTGTTGGCGAAACTGGCTCATCCAAATACATCACCGGCGCCCCCATATTTTACCCACAGCCAGGATAGTACAGATGCAGCACAAAATCAGCCGTAGCACGGATTTCGTCGAAAAGCTCTGAACCCAGCTTCCCCGCCTCCGCGGTCTCATTACAAAATCATGGGCATTAATATGGAGTTGGTCCCCCCTTTGCTGCTATACCAGCCTCCACCCTTCTGGGAAGGCTTTCCACTAGATGTTAGGACATTGTTGCAGGGACTTGCTTCCATTCAGCCACAAGAGCATTAGTGAGGTCGGGCACTGATGTTAAGTGGTTAGGCCTGGCTCGCAGTCAGCGTTCTAATTCATCCCAAAGCTGTTCGATGAGGTTCAGGTCAGGGCTCTGTGCAGGCCAGTCAAGTTCTTCCACACCGATCTCGACAAACCATTTCTGTATGGACTTTGCTTTGTGCATGGGGACATTGTCATGCTGAAACAGGAAAGGGCCTTCCTCTAATTGTTGCCACAAAGTTGGAAGCACAGAATCGTCTAGAATGTCATTGTATGCTGTAGCGTTACGATTTCCCTTCACTGGAACTAAGGGGCCTAGCCTGAACCATGAAAAACAGACCCAGACCATTATTCCTCCTCCACCAAACTTTACAGTTGGCACTATGCATTGGGGCAAGTAGCGTTCTCGTGGCATCCACCAAACCCAGGTTCATCGGTCGGACTGCCAGAGAACGCGTTTCCACTGCTCCAGAGTCCAATGGTGGCGAGCTTTACACCACTCCAGCCGACGCTTGGCATTGCAAATTGTGATCTTAGGCTTTTGTGCAACTGCTCGGTCATGGAAACCCATTTCATGAAGCGCCAGATGAACAGTTATTGTGCTGACGTTGCATCCAGAGGCAGTTTGTAACTCGATAGTGAGTGTTGCAACTGAGAACAGGCGATTTTTACGCGCTATGCGCTTCACTACTCGGCGGTCCTGTTCTGTGAGCTTGTATGGCCTACCACTTTGCGGTTGAGTCATTGTTGCTCCTAGACGTTTCCACTTCACAATTTAAGCACTTACTGTTGACCGGGGGAGAAGACGGCCAATCCACCCCCAGGTGATCTGCCACCCTACGACACGGATCCATCAAAGGCACATTTACCACCAATGGTTCACTCTCCCACGCCGAATCCAAAGCCGGGGCTTTAGGCTGCACGGACTGATGTCATCCGATTCACACTCTGAAAACCCTCCAGAGCCAACCAGGGATAGTATATCATCCCCGGAGTCTGGACTCTGATCACTGCCAGAGAAACAGGAATGAGCCTCACTCGTCTGGGATGACAACTCCGACCACCGCTGCTGCTCTTTCTCGGCCTCAGACAACCCCATTCCCGAGGTCACTTCACCAGAAGACCCTTCGCCAGCAGCCCCAATCTTTCTCACAAAGTCAGCCCAACGCCCAATGGAGGTTGAACCCAGCCGGAGACAATGGTCACACGAACTGGTCCGAGCCAAAGCGTGTTTCCACCCCAGGCAACAGGACAGCACTCATTCTTATTTACAATGACGGCCTACACCGGCCAAACCCGGCCAACGCTGGGCCAATTGTGCGCCGCCCTATGGGACTCCCAATCACAGCCGGTTGTGATACAGCCTGGAATCGAACCAGGGGGTCTGTAGTGACGCCTCAAGCACTTAGATGCAGTGCCTTAGACCGCTGCACCACTCGGGAGCCACTCAAGAGCTTTTAGCAAACACAAAAACCGATAACCAAGACCCAAAACTCGCAACATCTAGGGTGACGAGTACTCTCTCCCCACTAACAGACACTTAAGCTGGAGCTGAATCTCGTAATCTTCCTTCAGGCTAGATGAAGAGCGAAGAATTGAGCAATTGAATGCGAACCCCGGTATTATAGCCAGGAAGGCGGGGCTTCCAAGGGCGGGCTTGGCATCTATTGGCCCTTTGGGCATGATTTCAGTTTTCAGGTGAATATGATTGGTCGTTGACTCCCCCACATTATGTTATACCGAGTGACCGACAAAGGGAACAGAGTTATCACTAAGTCACGATAAACAAAGCACTTCTCCTAAGACTGCTCCAAGTTTCTATCTCAGTCAGTTTTCCATGCTCTCCCACCTTTTCCCCTGGCGTGACCGATATTCTCCAGATGCAGTGCATGTAGGCTGAGTATCCATTGGGGAAGCCAGGAGAGGAGAAGTTCCCACTGCTTTCCTGCAGACTGTCTCCACATCCTATCCACAAAGAGAGAGAGAGAGACATTAACATGAGGACCACGTCAACCAGTGAAGGATCTAGCAATTCGTTTCTGTCTGATAAGGACTAAAACACTGATTCCAGCAGTAGCATTGAGAAACCGCAATGAAGTAGCCAAGTCCCACTAAAGGGAGACTGTAGGAGACAGAAGCTTGATGCCACAACTATAATCCTGACTCTTAAGAGGGCAACTCTTTCATATTCATCTGCTGATGGTGATGATTATCAACCTCTTCCAGTTGATGAGAAGCGATAGAAGACAGTATGAGACACATTCTCTGTGCATCGTCTCAAAATAAACCTGGCCTACTGTAAATAACCCAATCCTCTAGGAGACCAAATACAACCCTCCCCCTGGCCAACTGGCTAAACCAACTGTGCTACAGGGGATAATTTCAACCAGCATGCATGGCTTAGGTGGGAGTAAGAAAAACATCTCCACCAACTGGTTACGTTCATAGGCTCCCTCCTTCCAGGCCATAAAGCATGGAGGTGAGAGCTTTGTCTAATAATGCTTGGCAGAGGTCTGCTGATGCTAAACCATTAACAAGCACTCGGAGGGGATGACAAATGCTCCCAGGAATGCAGTGTGAATAAGGATCCGCTGAGCTGCGCTCACTGGATCGTTTTTTTCCATAAAAACTGAGAGAGAGACTCCTTCTTAGCTGCATCCCCTGTGCTGCGCTGTGCGCCACATCATCCACTATCCCCTGTTCCACTGAGAGGGAGTTTATCACTGTGGAGGACACATAACACACCCACTCAACCAGCCCCACCTCTCTGAACCATTTATGGTGAAGATGGATGATTCCTCCCACTAAAACCACATTCAGCGGTCCAGTTCTGGCCAGTAGTATACTGTTTATTCACTGAGCTTTAATGTGGTTCTGACAAACCCAATTTTCCCTGTCTGACCCACAATTAACGCTCTGACATCACTTTTATTTTATGAATGACTATTTCAAACTTGTCGGTTTATGCTATAAATCGACCTTACGCCTTTAGTCGTTGTCCCTTCAGCCTTAAAAACCTTATTAAATCTCTAAGTCTTTCTAAAGACCAACATAACTATTGGTAAAGTGTCAGGGCAGTATGTTTTCCTTTAGAACACTTATGTGTTCAGTTGACATAAAACATGTCTTGATCTCTGGACCCTAAGAATAGAGTATGTTGATTCCCAGCCATCATTCTAGTCATTGTCCTCTTGAGACCAGCTGTTCTTTTGAGTCTATCTGGGAAAGAGTGATGACACTTCCTGTCCTAGGGCACTGTTTACACTCCTTCCCCTAGCCGGGGAGTCACAGCAACTGTAGCCAGGGAACCATGCCACATCAATGGTAGATGCTCAACTATTTCCACACGTAAACTACATCTAGGAAAACGTTTTTGAGTATTCACTCTCAGTGATATTGAGACACACGAAAAAGTAGAGTAACATTTCTCACTCTCAGGGGTAAGCAAAAGCAACAACAAGCACTATATCATGTCCGTTGTGCATTATTATGTCAACTTCATAGGCCTATTGTTTAAAATCTACCATATGGTATGAACCAACTATACACAAAAATGTGTTTGAATATTGTTTGCAATAATTGTGCTGTTCTTACTGGAACACTTGTAGAGTTTGCGTGCCTGTGTGATATCCCCTTTGCTTAGCCTTGTCCTCTGTCCAATCGGCGGTCTCACTCCATTGACATCATAGCGTGGCAGGATGGTGTCCAAGAAGATTCCTCTGCATTTCAGGAGAAGAGACCGCTGTTAGATCAAAACACAGCAAAACCGAGAAGGCACTCGCACATATACACTGATACACACTTTCTCAGAAAAGACACCCGGAGGGAAGTGGTGAAGCCTAAACATCCATCAGCCAGCAGCTGAACTGCTGACACTAACACTGACAGTAGGCATTATTCAGGGTCTACTGAGGATGCTGACACTTATGGAAGCGTCAGGCCATAGCTTTACCTGTGTGAGTCTGGCAGCCTGGAGCCAGTAAGGCCTGTGCCAAGGAGTGATATACTGTATGGGGAGCAGACAAGGGGCCCCATGTAAAACACTTATTTTTTGTGTCGGAACACCACAAAACACGCACTGGAACATTATGCCAGTTAAGAGAGTGGACCGAGTGTGATGCCAAGCCGTGCTGCCCACCAATGTGGTCTCAGGGCAATTTGTATTATTCTGTACGTAAATCTGTGACACTCCTTCTAGTATGATATGATATGTTAGGTTACATTATGAATGGAATAGCGGTTGTACAATAACATATGAACTAGAGAACGTATAGTATCATACGTCTTACTCGGTGGTACAATAGCATACAAATTGGATGATGTGCCTTATCATACATCTTGGGTGACGTATGATATTGCACATCTTTATCTGAGACCAGGTTGCTTGTTGCGGCATAACAACAAAGGAGAATTAAGGGAGGATTTACATTGGCGGTTAGGGGAACTAACAACAAAGGTTTGGAGAACTAAAACGACAAAGGTTAGGTAAATTTACATAGCAGGTTAGGTGAATTGGGTTATGTTTAGAATATGGGTTAGGGGAAGGGTTAGCTAAAATACAGTGGTCCCCGACGCGACTCGAACATGCAAGCTTTGGATTGCTTTACGATCGCAGATAACGCCTACCTGTCCTCCCCGACCAACCTCCCTACTTTAGTTTCTGTCTCAAGTAACTAGACCATTAGTAAGTATCATACGTCTTGGAGGTGCTCAGAAATACGTAAAGTATATTTTGTATGACTCTGAGGCCAGGCGGTGCCCACTCAGTGGTTCTCATCAGTGAACTCAGCAAAGAGTGGAGCCACACCCATCAGGAGTCCAGAACAGTTGATGCTGAAAAACCAGAACTTTCACACCACTTTCTCACTTGACAATTTGCTAGTTTATCATCTTCTTTTCTCTCTCTGCAATGGTGAGCAAAGCCTGCTTCCTGGCTGTTCCCATGGTGACGTACCCATCAACGCCAGGCATGTGCAAACAGAGCAGCCTGAGCTAACAGTTTAAGCACTGTCAAAAACAATGACCTAACTTCATATATTATTATATAAAAACCAACCAATGGACTATTACTGGTCAGTGGTCCCCTCCAAGGCTGTAGGAATGTCCTCCTCAGAGAGCGGAGGTAGTTCAAATGGGACTGGGGGTCAAAACTGACCTCCCACTGACCTCATCATGTGTGCTGTGCAGATGGAAGAAAAACACTATCCAATTCCAACACTTCAAACCAAAAGCCCTCCTCTGACAACTCTATGGGAAAATCTAAAACTTGATTGGTTTGTTGTATGGACAACAACAACAACAACAACAACATTTAGCATAAGAATTCCAAAAGAACAAGAACAATTACAAAGAAGTACAAAAATCAGACCATGGTGGCTTGCCTTTGGCTTGAAAAGGAGTCCAGAACAGTTGATGCCGAAAAACCAGAACTTTTCACACCACTTTCTCACTTGACAATTTGCTAGTTTATCACCTCCTTTTCTCTCTCTGCAATGGTGAGCAAAGCCTGCTTCCTGGCCGTTCCCATGGTGACGTACCCATCAACACCAGGCATGTGCAAACAGAGCAGCCTGAGCTAACAGTTTAAGCACTGTCTGTCTGCCTGTCTGCCTGCAGGAGCCCGTATGCTGGCTGCCGGTGAACAACGCCACTCCAGCCGGTGTCAGAGCAGACAAAGGGCACACTGGCAGGTCTTTATTTGAGTTGGCTCTGCTTTATGCACCAGGCCTGAAAAAATGTCCCCAGCGCAGAGGGGCGGGTAAAGCCCAGGGTCGGGTAACATGCCCCAGACAAAAAGCATGGGGAGCTGCCTTACTTGTCCCCAAGAGACACTTCAAAACATGATGGCATGCCCATGAAATCTTGTCAACAACAATCTCGGCAAAGGCCCTGGCTTCCCACGGTGATTTACAGTAAAAACGCTGTGCAAACACACAGGCTAATAATGGGGAAACAAAGGAAGACATTGGAACAGGTACATCAGCCAATCAGCATCACAGGAGGTTGGTAACACCTTAATTGGGGAGGACGGGCTCGTGGTAATGGCTGCAGTGGAATGGTATCAAATACATCAAACACATTGTTTCCATGTGCTTGATGCCAATCCATTTGCTCTGTTCCAGCCATTATCATGAGTAGTCCTCCCCTCAGCAGCCTCCACTGATCAGCATGCAGGTGAAGTGTAAACTGTAAACTGGATCACAAACCTCACAATGACTTGAGGAAAGCTAACAGGAGCCCCTTGTCTCCTAATAAGGTGCTCTGAAAACACACTGACCACGCTCTCAATACAATCCATTACTTTTTCATCTCTAAACAGTGAAATAATTAAATAAAGCTGGCTATACTCAGGGAAAATAGGACATGCTTAGAGAGGTTGGATGACAACAGAGCAGAAAGCAACAACAATCACAAACCTACTTCATTGTCACCCCCTGGCAAGCACATTGCCTGTACAGTTAAAGAAATAAAGGGCTAGACAGCCCATTCTGTGCAGTGGCCTGAAAGAGTGTTTGTATCCAATCTCAGCCTCCTTGTAGAGAAAGAATCTCTCCCGGCTTCCCAGAATCCAGTTGCCACGAGCGCATGGCAGTTTATTTGAGACGAGGTCCAGACAGTGAGGCTGCAATAGGAGGCATTGAGGAAAGGGCCAGCCTCTGTGAAAAAGAGGGCAGAAAAATTAGAACAAAAGGAGAGCTAACAGCTGGTTCTCATATCAGAGAACTGTGTAGTAATGATTACGGTCTGGTCTGGTCTGGCCACCCTCTCCTCCAGCTCTCACTCGCCTTGCGTGTGCCCAGGCTCACGTTACATTCACACTGGGGAGCTGGGGCCTTTCAAACCCTGTTCTGCAATTGGGAAAGGGGCATTGAATTGGAACAACAATCGCTGGTGTCGATGTCTGTAGCGCTAGACAGTTTCACATTTTGTTTATGTAAAAGATCTTTAGAAGAAAGTCTGGGTCAAATTGCACAGCGGGTACCAAAAATTCATCACACACATGGCTGCGGGAGGGAACCTCATGTTACCGGTATGTTAAACTCAGTGCCAGGATATCCCCCCATTGTCATGCAATCCACTATAGACTGCACACTGCCTGACAAGGATGTCATGCAACCTTTATGCTGGGCTTGTATGACTTATGTAATTACAATGACACCAAATGTACAGCTCAATCTCCAACTCAGTCCCAAGTGGACCTTTTTAGCTTTGCTTTGATCCAACGGAAACAGAAGGAAACAGTGCCAAACTGCAGCCTAAAAAAGCAAGGGAATGGGTAAAACCCAAATAAGCATGCAGTAGTCATAGAAGCTGGGCTGGTCCAAACCTCAAACAGCCACGATGACACCACTGTCTCTGTCTGTGACTGACAGGACAGCATCTGGAGAGATTTCCAGATGTGTCAAACAGGGAGTCTGGGAGAAATAAAGAGGTCAGCTGGCACAGAGGGACACACTGGCACAGTGGAGTATCATAAAGACCATGACACATTCACTGCTCTCCTTTTTAAGCATACTTTAAGGCCAAGAAGCAATCTTTTGTCATATGAATTTCAAATAGCAGCAGCATGTACTGCAACAGCACTAAAAGAGTTAGGTTGGAGTGGACAGCTGTTTTCCTACTGTATATTATTACAAAAAAATCTAAACACAGGGCAAAGTGAGACAATAAGACAATCTTAATAGATTCCATCTACGTGGCCATAAAAAAATAATAAGCTGGGGGATCTATTACACCCCTTATGTCCTTTTTAAAGACTGCACAAACCATCTATGATTCCTTGATCACAAAAGCCACAATAGATCAATCATATTAACTATTTGTTGAAAAATCTATAGCCTGCGGTCAGAACACACCTGGAAACAGGTGACTCTCAGAGATTTGAGCGTCAAGTCAATGTCAAGTCAATGTCGGGGAAATTACATTGAATGGTCTCCATTTCCACATACCTAAACATGTTTGTGATCATTAGTGGTTGACTTAAATCACGCTAGCAATTGGAGTAGACCTGACTTTTATTTTTAACACCAGGGAGCCATGAAGCTAGCTAGCAGACACCTCAGGAATAAAACCCTATAGCCTCCTACAGAAGCCTGGTATGTGGGATCATGTTGCTAACGATGATCAAAGCCACTTCAAAGGGGTCGTATGTGGCATAATGAGGCAGTTCACACTATGAGAGGATAACTTTTACAAGGAGCTTCAGAGGTATGAAAGTGCCATGTAGCCTGATGTGATGCAGCAAGGCCACTGGCGCTAGCAGCTCTACCTAAACCTAGGGATGGATGTGAAGGTTTCCTGGGCTGTTGCTACACTCAGACAGCTGGAGCCAACCAGGGGAGGGATAATTGGAACAACCTGTGGCTATGGGTAAAAGCTGGCTCATCAAAAGGTAGACACAATCAAACCTTATGGGCAATTCCACGGGAACGGAATTGCACTGAGACTCAGATTTTCCCACTTAAAATGTACACCAAACAAAAACCGTTGATTTCAAAGTTTAACAAACCATACAACTCTATGCACAAGGACTACTTTTAACAATTTACACTGACATTTTTACAAAAAAATCACATTTACTGGAAGAACAGATGCAAAGTTCAGTAACAGAATTTTGGTAAAATCGCCCTCAGGTTTTTATGTGTCCACGTTTTCCAAAAACTCTTAAATATCTGCTGCGAATTAAGATTCAAAGACGTCTGCAGAAAGAATGGGGTGTCAGCTATGACATGACACATTCACTTTGAAAAAAATCTATTTTGGTTATTGAACTACAGTAAGTAGAGTGGATTTACACCCGGTAACGGAATTGCGGTAACTCTTGGGTCCCTGATCTGTACTACACAGAAATGCATCATTATGGATATGAATGTCATTCTCTTCCGGTGATGAATCCTAAATAGGTACACAAAGGTAGAAATATGCAATATTGTTTGGGTATTATTCTACACACTGGCTATTATTTTAATGAGCTCTGCCCCCAAACAAGACCACATTTGGTTGGTCCAGACCGTACCAAATCTGTACCAATCATAGACGTCTATGTTTCACAAGTTTGGACATCAAAGTATAGCACAGTAGCCCTCAGTAGAGTAGAGTTCAGTACAGTAGAGTACAATACAGTACATTATAGTGTACTCAACTCTAGTGTGCTCTACTGTGTACTGTACTCTACAGTATGTTTTGGAAATTCCGTTACCGATTTATTAACGGAATTGAGTTTTAAATCACTTAATAATTCATAAACAAAATTGATATCAGTAAAAATACTATAACTAATTGATAGGTCTACCTTTACTTGTTACTTCTGTGAACTTTCATTATCCTCCCTCCTAATGAGGGAGAGAAATTTGAAAATATATTTTGGTAACAGAAAGGCAATATTTCTTATGCTGGGCATACACTACATGACTTCTAAAATCGTAACAATTTGGACGTGCTCATATTTCGCGATTTCATTTCCCAAATCTTTCATTCCGTCCATCCTCAACCTCAGGACGTGGGTGCTCACATTACGATGATTCCCTAGTTGGTTCTGCCCTGCATTTCTCGGTTGTCGTAGGGAAAAAATTCTGACATGCAAATAGTGAGCTGCTTTATTAGTGTGTACATTATCATTTGCAGAAACATTCAAAAACGAGACAGAGGCGCAGAATATGGACTTAATACGGAAAACAATTATGATAATATTAAATAATTTTTTTGATTTCTCTCATGGTAGGACGCAGACGTATATATTGGTGGAATTCGTTTTGCATGGCCCGGTGCCCCGGTGGTTGGGGATTTAACTTAAGGACCTATGGAATGGTCTAAAATAATCAAACTCTACTATCCGGGGCACCGGGCCATGTAAAACGAACTCGCCCATTGAAAAGGCAGCCGCGTTCTCTCCACAGCTCCACCAATGTCTTCCATCACATCGATCCACATGGTGCGTGTTGTTGTTGCTTTCCTCTTCACCATCATTGTTTCAAAAAATTCTCGGGACATCCGACAGGGTCCTTGATCCGCTCAAACTATGCCAGTACCGACCTACTGATCCTAGCCCAACTTCATAGGATTTCACCCAAATCATAAAAATTCATCTGGGACGGCCAAAACATGGCGAGTTCGTGGCAAAATCGTGTAGTGTATGCCTGGCATTAAACTTACAGAAGGCAGAACCATTTCTCCAAAACTAAATATAAGTGTTGATATTAGTTGGTAGGGGTCTTTATTTCAACATTAATATTTAAGACTTTTTCTGGTAGATGTTTTTGAAGACCCCCTTTCCATCTGTTTGACCAGAAATCAAAGCCTTCGCTTAATTCAACATTTTAGGATGGAAAATGGTTAAAAAAAGAATATATGCTGTAATTTCTCAAAAATGTAGACTTTTAGCTGTCATTTGACACCCAATTTGATATGCTCCTATGAACTTTACATGTTGGTGCTCATGGGTCTTTTTACATGGAAATAGCCTTATCCAACAAATACCCCCCTTAATACATAGCTGCCACTGGATAGCATCCCCACTGAGCGACGCAGCTACCTGAAAGGCTGGAAGCAATCAATATGATATATGCCTAACACCATTATACAAAACAGATAGGCATTGTATTACATGGGGTTGGTAAAGCATGCTGCAGTTTGTGTGCATTGATTTTGGTAGGTGCCTTTCTACTCCTAGACTACAGATGGACTGGGTAAGGTGGGCTACACAAGATCAAAAAGTTGCTGCTGTCTAGGAAAACGTATAAAACATACACCAGGATTGAAAGAGAAAGCTCTGTAATCCTGCTCTTTCTGGGCCCAAAAAAGCTAAATGGGCCAGATGTGTCAACTCTAATGACATGTTACTCCAGGCATTTTGGTGGATTACACTTTTTTACCCTCAGAAATCTCATTACAAGGACAAGCAATATAATCCTTTCTGAATCTCACAGAAACCACGTCAGTTCACCCCCTGAGCATTTCCACTGCACGCTCAAATGTAAGCCGTGACCGTTGAGAGAGTCTAAAGATCCAAGCCAAAATAAACTTGCGGAAGAGAGAGAAAGAGAAGACACTCCCAAAAAGTATTATATTCTGCAGCTGTTCTTCCTTTAAGCCAAGGCACTGACACATTCATGAGGTCCATCACTGAGTTGTGTCTTTGTCCTGCTTCCCTGTACTTCAAATTCATCAGACCAACCATCATACAGGCTAAGTAACAGTGGGAAGTCAGCAGTATATTTTGTCCCCCAGGCTATGAATGTCGGCAGGTCATTAACTGAATAGTATTAAATAATTCTAAGCTTCAATTTGCACCACCTTTCCTAAGCCTTGAAGTCAGCCCCTGGCATTGACACAGTAGAACTATGAAGTGATTCTGCAGTAACATCGAAAAGACCTGAAGTGAGACATGAAGAGAGCAAAAGTTACATAGTCTGGGAAACTGCTCTCTGACCTAAACTGCAACTGATTTCCATGATGTCTGTTATGTTCTGCTGTGTATGAAGTGGAACTTGGCCCAGCTCCTACCTTGAGAATGTATTCCTGGCATAGTGCATGATGCTGTCAAAGTCATACACTTCACCCAGAGAGTCCACCTCCCCTGGCTCCATCTTCAAGAAGTTATACTCCTGTCCTGTGAATGGACGCAAGAAAACAGATACTGAAACCTGCAACCCACCCATAGCTCAAATACTGAATGGAAAAAGTGAGTGGCTATCTCCTAGAAAGGGAAAACTATGTTAGCTCATCTCATATGATATCTCTCCATGTTAGATGAGTGGGCTGTTCCATACACAGCAGTCTTACCTGGCTGGATGTTGTCCCTGATGATGCTGACGTGTTCGTCTCTGTCGGGCCGAGTGTGCTCGTGCCAGAAACCAATCACGTGGCCCAGCTCATGCACCACTATTCCAAACTTGTCACAGTTCTTTCCTATGGAGATGGCCTGGGGACCGCCACCCCTGCGGCCCACATAGGAACAGCACCTGCAGGGTCCAACACACAGAACAAAGATCAGGGACAGGTCAACAGGCAGGGTAACAAGCTAGTGCCAAAGACTGTGGTAACTGGCTACATATTAGACCAAACTAAGTCACTTTTAGCTTGGCAGACACAAAGATGAGTGTTAGCTCAAGAGGGCCCATCCTGCTTAACATAGTATTATGTAAGTGCTACATTTCTGTGTCCAGATCAATCATGTAACAAGAACTTGGTGAACTTTGTGTTACTCCGGATATATAGAGCTTTACTTCCACAAACATGCAAGTGTAAACCAGAGGGAGTGAACAAATAACTAATAAGCCAAGTGAAGGAGTCTATGGAAGGAATCCCTGTTCCTGGAGAGACGCAGGGTCTGACTGCAACAGTTTGTGGTTCAACTCACATCTCTAATGAATATATACAGTATTAGGAACAGCATTCTTAACAGCCTTTCTAGCAGGTCATAGGAAAACTAGACGAGGTGAGGTGACCCTCCATCCCGCCTTTCTAATACAGTGGTGACATTCATTGATGCGTGCTTCACTGAAGATGGAGGGTTACAGTGTGTGACAGTGAAGGCTGGCTAACTTCAGACTGCAGGGCTCTCCCTCTCTCCCTCCCTGACATGAAAGGCTCAGTGTGGGAGCCCGGTCCATGGGCACACACTGCCCCTGTTGGCCAACAGCCTCTCTCTAATTACTGTGAGCCAGGCTTTCCTGAGACGGGCCTTGAACTTTGCACAGGACAGATGGGGCCTGCAGCAGGCCAGCCCAGAGCCCAGGCATTCCCACTGCTAACTGCGGCCGCCTGCGTGGATAATGTCATCCCTGTTACTCTGGAGGATAGTTACCAGGCTAAAAATGGCTATCAACAGCTGGGTGGAAAAAGGGCAGTTTATGCTCCAAATCCGCTCTTTAATATGTTCTTCTTGGTAACGGATTTGCTGTACATGCAGAGCCAGAGTATAACGCCATCAACGCAGCTACAGTTTTTGTGTGAACTCATTTGAACTTAAAAACATGCATAGCTGGGAAAATGACAAAATATATCACGTGGAATGAAAGCGGTCGGGTTATGGTAAAGCTGAGGAGGTCTCCCTTGGGTGCCATAAAAAAAACATGTGTGACAACAGTGCTCAGGGAAAGATGTGTCAGGACTATGAGGCAAAGCAAGCATTCCTAGGGCCTGAATGGCCGTCTTTCTCAGGACTTGCAGGGGGCTGCAATTAGCACAACTCATGCAGACAGACTGCGGACAGAGGAGATGAGCCAGCACTAAAGGACGATGGAGGAGAGGTAAGGAAAAGTACTTAAGCGATAAATCATTATGGCTGTGTGGATAAAGGAGTGTCATGTCTGAGCAGGCTGACCAGCTACACTTCCTTCCTGAGGGAGGCGAGCCCAGGCCTGCGTGGACTCACCCACACGGCCGGTAGGTGAACACAATGTAGCTCTCCTCTGTTGTCCTCTCCATAAAGGTCACGCAAGTATGCTTCTCCCAGTGACGCATGGCCTGGCGGAATATCGCCCGCTGGCTGCCTAAATGTGATGGGAAGAAGGGAGGAGATCAGTGAGGCTGAAGTGCATAATACACATAAATAGGAGGATAAAATACCAATGCTGACAGCTTGCTCGTAGTGCCAAATTCATCCCAAGTAAAGTTAATAAATGTGTTATGTCCAATAGCTGCCAAGACATTCCTTTTAATGTAGTGGATGCAAGTATGCTGAAGTATGCTGAATGGACACCAGCTGCCACCTTTTAGTAGGGAACTATGTTATAGGGCACATATAAAACACATAGGGCAAGTAAACAGCAGCGATGACGTGGGACTTACCACTGAAGTTCCCACTGATGACATAGGGAATGACACCTTCTGGCCACACCCTCTCAGGTCTGGAGGTTGCCGCCCTTTTCCTGCGGTGTGATCCTTGCCGGTTTGGCAACGCTCTGTTTCGACTGGTCTCATTGGCAGAAGACCCTGTCATTCACAATTACCAGCCAAAGATGAGGTTTGTACAATATAATCACAGAGAACCATCAAATTAAAAAGTTCAACTCTGATGAGAACATGGTAAAAACCATGATGAGATTACAACATTTCAGCTGTTCCTAAATGGTAAAGAGATGACAATGACAATGAAGCATGCTTTATAACTTTGTTGAGCATTCTCTTTACATAAACACTTTGAGAGTGCTGGTGATAAACATGCTGTTTGTTTACAACAGGTGTCTTGGCCAACCCAGTGTTGGAGAGGAGTCATCACCTGGTGCTGAGTGGTTCATGCATCGTATACATCTTCCTGGCAGATGCACTGGGAGAGAGTTACAAAGCCTCCTTGCATAATTGGCCTTGAGGTGGGAAAATGTGGGAACTATTTAACTGAATGCAAGCTTTTCTTCTTGGACTGGTTTGTATTGTATCATTAAGGATACATTTTAGTCAGCACTATATAATAGCACATGCATAAATGGAGTCAGACTTTTAAAATTGATGACAGGCAAGTTTACAAGAAAATGCTAGCTTTAAGCCTATGGCGACAGGCCTTAATCTTTAGTCTCAGTAACCATGACTGGGTCAGCCAGCCTCATAGCTCTTGCTCACTTGTGGTTGTCTCATTGAAGGTCTGGACGGTCCGTTGGGCCATGTTTATAATCCGGTCCACCTTAAACATGTGCATGTCCTCCTCATCCAGAGCAATGTCTCCCCAAAAGGCAGCTGAAACAGACACACAAAGAGAGAAAGCATGTCAGACATATTTAAGGCGTCTTTACAATATTGGATATTGTTTTGCACCGTCCAATAGCCTCAAGGTTTTCCTGCTCTGCAGTCAGACGACCCCTGTCGATCACATAGACATCCATTAAAACAGAGGGTGAAAAAGCTAGACATTCTATCTCTCTCACACACACTCCCTCCCTCCCATATCTTTGGCCCCCTCTCCCTCTTCCCCTCTCTCAAACAGACACACAGAGTTGTGAAACAGCAGTTATGTGAATGTTTGAATAACAGGAGAGGAGTGCTGTCTGAATCTCAGAGCTCTATAAGCTCCAAGCTAAATAAGTCATACCATCAGGGGGACATCTCTGTATGACATTCAATGGAGGACATATTAAATAAATTAATGAGAGCTACATAAAAACGATTTCAGATCAGCATACCCCAGATGTGCTGGGTCAATCCAGTTGCCATTGAGAAAACTCTGGGGGAATATTTAATGTCCTGATATCCTTGTACCGTTAATGAGTCCTTGAGCAGACCTAATACTGTAAGATGCTGCCTCAATACTGTATATGGGGCACCTTGAACAAGTAATAGGTTCTTAATGAGGCCAAGGAGAAGGGAAAAAATAGGAAAAATAACCTAACAGTCACCCTTTATGAAGAATGTGAAGAATGGGATTCCTTGCTAAATGCCCTATTTCTGTGGCAGTTAGGGCAGGAGTCCTCTCCACAGATACAGGCCGCTCTGTTTTATAAGCTTTTAAACCAGCACGTTTGCTGGATTTACGGCCTGTCCTGTGTGCAGGAGTGGAGGGAAGGAAGGGAGTGTAATCCATGTCTGAGCAGGAAGATGAGAGCAGGGGGAAGAGGGGAGGAAGGGGAGGAGGACATAAAGGCTCGCTGCCCACTGATTGTGAGGGGGAGAGAGAAAGACTATCCTTTGCAAACATGTTTTTTTGTGTGTGAGAGGTTTATACTCCTTGGGGACAGGAAGCAGAGTACCAAGGGACAGATAAAGTCAGACCTGATGGAGTTATCTGCTGTGGCTTGAGTTAATATGGCACTGACTACTGTATGTCCACAATTTGAGTTAGAAATGTAGGAGTACCCCAAATGACATATAGTTGTTCCAGGGCAATTCCACAGTAACATAATTATTTTTCACTTTAAAATGCATGTCAAACAAAAACCAATGATAGCAAAGTTAAACAAACCATACAACTCTATGCACAAGTACTACTTTTAACAATTTCCACTGAAAATGTTACAAAAACACATTTACTTGAAGAACAGTGCAGACGCAAAGTTAAGTAACAGAATGACGGTTTGTTACCAAACTTTGCATCCGCATTGTTTTTGTAAATGTGTTTTTGTAAAATGTTAAAGTCGTCCTTGTGCATAGAGTTGTATGGTTGGTTTACCTTTGCAATCATTGGTTTTTGTTTGGCATACATTTTAAAAGGGAAACATTTTGTGTCAGAGAGAAAAGAAGATGAAGGAAAACAATAGAGAAAAACTTTTTGGCTTGTGTTCCTTATCCTCCAGAGGCTAATTATTTAAACAATATGTAGCTGGCTGAGATGCAGCCACAGTATCCCAAAAGCAACAGAGAGGGTCGGAGAGGGCATGTTGAGGGCTAGCAAGATAACAAGCTAATGACAGCAATAGGAAAAGGTGTAGATCTCTGCCTGCAAGATAGGGCATACTCAGAGCTCAGAGGGCAGGTTTAAAATACCATAACTCAAAGGGATCCTATAATTTGCACTCAGAAAAACGCTCAATCACTGTGAGTGTCACCAAGTCACCAAAACATTAAAACAGACTATTCGTAATCAGCTCTAATACTGACACTCTGTGCCAAGAGTATACAGTGCCTTCAGAAAGTATTCATACCCCTTGACTTATTCCATATTTTGTTGTGTTACAGCCTGAATTCAAAAATTATTAAATCGATTTTTTTTCTCACCCCATCTACACAAAATACCCCATAATGAGAAAGCGAAAACATGGTTTTAGAAAGCTTTGCTAATTTATTGAAAATGAAATACACTACCTTTCAAAAGTTTGGGGTCACTTAGAAATGTCCTTGTTTTCCATGAAAACATACATGAAATTAGTTTGAATAGGAAATATAGCAAAATGCATAGGAAATGTAGTCATTGACAAGGTTAGAAATAATGATTTTTAATAGAAATAATAATTGTGTCCTTCAAACTTTGCTTTCGTCAAAGAATCCTCCATTTGCACCAATTACAGCCTTGCAGACCTTTGGCATTCTAGTTGTCAATTTGTTGAGGTAATCTGAAGAGATTTCACCCCATGCTTCCTGAAGCACCTCCCACAAGTTGGATTGGCTTGATGGGCACTTCTTACGTACAATACGGTCAAGCTGCTCCCACAACAGCTCAATAGGGTTGAGATCCAGTGACTGTGCTGGCCACTCCATTATTGACAGAATACCAGCTGACTGCTTCTTCCCTAAATAGTTATTGCATAGTCTGGAGCTGTGCTTTGGGTCATTGTCCTGTTGTAGGAGGAAATTGGCTCCAATCAAGCGCCATCCACAGGGTATGGCATGGCGTTGCAAAATGGAGTGATAGCCTTCCTTCTTCAAGATCCCTTTTACCCTGTACAAATCTCCCACTTTACCACCGCCAAAGCACCCCCAGACCAACACATTGCCTCCACCATGCTTGACAGATGGCATCAAGCACTCCTCCAGCATCTTTTCATTTGGTCTGCTTCTCACAGATGTTCTTCTTTGTGATCCGAACACCTCAAACTTCGATTTGTCTGTCCATAACACTTTTTTCCAATCTTCCTCTGTCCAGTGTCTGTGTTCTTTTGCCCATCTTAATCTTCTCTTTTTATTGGCCAGTCTGAGATATGGCTTTTCCTTTGCAACTCTGCCTAGAAGGTCAGCATCCCAGAGTTCGCCTCTTCACTGTTGACGTTGAGACTGGTGTTTTGCGGGTACCATTTAATGAAGCTGCCAGTTGAGGACCTGTGAGGCGTCGGTTTCTCAAACTAGACACTCTAATATATTTGTCCTCTTGCTCAGTTGTGCACCGGGGCCTTCCACTCCTCTTTCTATTCTGGTTAGAGCCAGTTTGCGCTGTTCTGTGAAGGGAGTAGTATACAGCGTTGTACGAGATCTTCAGTTTCTTAGCAATTTCTCGCATGGAATAGCCTTCATTTCTCAGAACAAGAATAGACTGACGAGTTTCAGAAAAAAGTTATTTGTTTCTGGCCATTTTGAGCCTGTAATCGAACCCACAATTGCTGATGCTCCAGATACTGAACTAGTCTCAGGAAGGCCAGTTTTATTGCTTCTTTAATCAGCACAACAGTTTTCAGCTGTGCTAACATAATTTCAAGAGGGTTTTCTAATGATCAATTGGCCTTTTAAAATGATAAACTTGGATTAACAAACACAACGTGCCATTGGAACACAGGACTGATGGTTGCTGATAATGGGCCTCTGTACGCCTATGTAGATAATCCATAAAAAAATCAGCCGTTTCCAGCTACAATAGCCATTTACAACATGTATAACAATGTCTACACTGTATTTCTGATCAATTTGATGTTATTTTAATGGACAAAAAAATAGCTTTTCTTTCGAAAACAAGGACATTTCTAAGTGACCCCAAACTTTTGAATGGTAGTGTACATAAATATCTCATATACATACAGTGGGGAGAACAATTATTTGATACACTGCCGATTTTGCAGGTTTTCCTACTTACAAAGCATGTAGAGGTCTGTAATGTTTATCATAGGTACACTTCAACTGTGAGAGACGGAATCCAAAAATCCAGAAAATCACATTGTATGATTTTTAAGTAATTAATTTGCATTTTATTGCATGACATAAGTATTTGATACATCAGAAAAGCAGAACTTAATATTTGGTACAGAAACCTTTGTTTGCAAATACAGAGATCATACGTTTCCTGTAGGTCTTGACCAGGTTTGCACACACTGCAGCAGGGATTTTGGCCCACTCCTCCATACAGACCCTTCAGGTTTCGGGGCTGTCGCTGGGCAATACAGACTTTCAGCTCCCTCCAAAGATTTTCTATTGGGTTCAGGTCTGGAGACTGGCTAGGCCACTCCAGGACCTTGAGATGCTTCTTACGGAGCCACTCCTTAGTTGCCCTGGCTGTGTGTTTCAGGTCGTTGTCATGCTGGAAGATCCCAGCCACGACCCATCTTCAATGTTCTTACTGAGGGAAGGAGGTTGTTGGCCAAGATCTCGCGA